CCTGCTGAAGCCCTCCCCAGCCCTCCCCAGCCCCCAAGGCAGCCAGTGCCTCCTCCTCCATGCAGTTCTCCCAGATCTCCTCTGCTGGAAAGACAGCTTTCAGTTGTTTCCCAGGGCATGCTCTGAGTGCTTTTTACAGCTTGAACTCCATCCCGCTATGGCACCTCCCGCCTTGTCTGTGTTACTCAAATCCTCTCAGCCTCCACGGCCAGTAAAGGAAGGGAGTGGGCATTTATTGAGCTTCTGTATGGCCTATTTATTTACTTATTGCCAGAGAGAAGGAAAGTGAGAAATAGCCCCCCCTCCCCCAGGGCTCTGGCCACACTGCAGTCCCTTCTCCTCCATTCTCCTCTTGGGATTTTAGGCATATACTCACATGGGCCTGGCATGATTGCTGCTGAGTCCGGGCCTCGAACCACAGAGTCAGCTATGTGGGTGTCTAGCGCCTTAACCATCACGCCACCTGCTGACCCTCTGCATGGCTTCTGAGCAGTTGCTTTCCACATTCAGCTAGTTTAGTCCCCAGAGTAATGCCCTTGGCAACTGTGGCTATGCATGCCCTGCTCAGATCTGAGGCTTTGAAGTCAGAGTCCGGGTAAACATAGCCTACAGGCCCTGCGCTGGCTGTCGAGCCTCTCAGGGCCTGAGTCTCTGGTCTGGAATGGGGCAATGTCGGTGTTCACCTTATAAGGCTGCTCTGAGGGCTCCGGGGGCCCAGGATCCCTTGCCTGCCACCACGGGAATTACGGCTGCCGCCAAGAACTCGGGGCAGGTAGAGTAAGTGGTGGAAACTGTGTTCAGAACGGGCTCATGACTGCACACGTGCACCTTGGCCTCGAGCAAACTTTTGGCGACTGGAAGCAGGTGGGGGTGTCAGGGGAACTTGTTCCTCCCCCAGAAACCTCAGTGACGCTAACTGGAATTCAGGTGGTGCTAAACTGCTGGGTTTGGAGAAGGCAGCCGCGAAGTCGTCCACCTCCTCGTTTCAAGGGAGTTGATTCTCAGAGGATGGGGAACCCGCACTGCACCTGGCAGAGATCTAAAAAAGTGGGTTGGTCATGCAGGACCAGCGGCACCCTGCCTGCTGCGCCCTAATCGTGCCTCCCTGGTCAACGCCGGTGGGAGAGGTGGACAGTCCCTGGGATCTGGGAGCTTAGCACGGTGCTGGGGCTGGGGGGCACCTCCCTCTTGGACGAACCCCTTCCAGCCCCGATTCTATCACAAGATGGCCAGGGACAAACAGGCCTCCATCCCGAGAGAGGGGCTTTCCCCCTTCGGGACAATGAGGAGTGCGAACCCTGATAGCTCGGGCAGGGCAAGGGCAGAAAGGCCAGAAAGACTGTGGGCATGAGGCATGATGGGAAAGAGCCAAATGCTTCTCAGCGGGGCAGGGAGTAGAGAAGGAGGAACCATCTTCCCTTCAAATGGACTAAACTCAAGATCTGGAGAGGTAGAGGTTCCCTGCTGAGGAGACCCGTGAGGAAGCCAGCCACACTGAGGAGACCCCGATTCTTCCTCCTGCTGGGCCTAGCCCCTCCTTCCCCTACATAGGCTCCAGGACCCTCCCGCTCAGGGGCCGGGGAGAGCAGGCCGCTGTGGAGCTCACCCACTGGGAGAGTGAGCAGTGCCTGCCAGAATGCAAGCTCCTCTCTGCTAGCAGGCCCACCGGCCAGGTCCAGCTGTGGGAGTCAGTGCCGGAGGGGGCCACCGAGATCTCAAAACCTGGCTCCTGCCCTCCCCCCAACTTCGGGGTGTCCCTGGGGAGGTGACTGTCTGAAACCTTCATTCCTGTGGTCCAGCCCAGAGCCCCGCCAGAGTCACAGCAGGATCTGGATGGCTTGCAGAGCTCCTGTGGCCCTGCCCAGGCTGCGACCTCTTCAGTGGCTCATCCCCTTTCCTGCAGGAGTTTCTGGAAGGTGGTGTCAGGCAGGGAGTGGGGAAGGGTCCTCTGTGGGTGAGTGATTCAGTTCAGGTCACAGGTTCTGAGCACCTATAGCGTGCCAGGCCCCCAGGAGGGGACAAGACCCTTTGGTTGGAGGGAGGAGCCCCTAATATACCCTGAGGGATGGAGTCTGAGGTCTTCCTGTCTTTCAGGGTCAGTGTTTTGATTCCTGAGCCCCTGGCAGACCCGGCCCACAGGTGCCCAGCACTTGGCGAGGACACAGCCGGGAGGCTGTCCCAGCACTTCCCTGTGGCCGGTCCTTCCAGGGCCATTGTCCTGCATGGAGGAACTCACTCAAGGCTAACAAGTCAAGTCCTGCCGGTCAATGCCGCAGGATGGAAAGCTTCCATGGGGGCTACATTCTCTTCCTCACAGTGACCTGGAGCTCTCCTGAGCCCCGTTACCTCCTCTGGCCTGGAAAGTCCCATTTAAAGCTTTTCAAAAAAGTGATTCTGGGCCAGGCGTTTGGGCCTCTTCCAGACTCTTCAGGGGTTCATTTGCATTTTTGGAATAAAAATGTTGACTGTACTTCATGCTCAGCCGCACATTTAAATGCTTCTGCGAGGTTTGTTTTGGAGAAGTGACTCTGGAATGCTGGCTGGCGGGTGCCACCACCTCCCCTGGGAGAGGCAATCAGCCCCCCACAGAGACTGGAGCCTAAGAAGGGCCGAGCAGCCCTCTGGAGGAGGCGCCGTCCAATGGGAGCCTCGCCCCAGGGGCTGTCGGGAGGCTGTTGGGAAATGTCTCATTTTTCTATGTAAATAAATCATTTCCAGAGATTGCTCTGATCTCAGCGGGCTGCTGCTAAAACGTTTTAAGTGGGTCCTTTGCCACTGTAAACTTCGTTAAGCATTATTATCAAGTTGGCATCTGTTTTGCTCTGCTAAGTTTGTGGATTCAGTGACCTGGGGTCTGGCCTGTTCTGCCTTTGTGTTCTGACCAAGTGCCTTTGGGGAAGGGGTGCTCACCGCCTCCCCGCTGCCCACTCCATTGCCGCTCTCCGGGAGCTGGCAAGGACGTTCTTGTGGCTTTCATCGCTGTACCTGGGGCCATGCCTTGCTGTGGCCTTACAGAGCACATTTGTTCCCTTGGTCACCTCCATATGTTGGACCAGAACTTTGACCTCCTGGCCTAGGCCCATGATGTCTTCCATCACTGACCATGCTCCTCCACCTTCACTTGCACACATCCATTACTTATCAGACTCCAACCCCCTGGGCTCTGTGTCCCCCAGTGCACAAAGCACTGTCCCCATGGGGCCCTCTGCCAAGAGGCTTTTTCCAGGTTCCTTCTTGGAGATCCCAGCTCAAATGTCACTTCCTTACACAGCATCCCCCACCCCTATCGGATCCCCACGCCAGCATGAAAGCTGTTCGGTTACAATGCGATGCAATATGAACCTATTTACATGCCGTCTGTGTAATTAAGAAGTAGGGCCCACAGAGATGAGTCTTTGCCTTATTCCCTGCTGTAATCCCAGGTGAGCACACAGTAGGTGCCCAATCAATATGCATGCTAGGAACAAGATGCCCATGTCCTCAGACTCCTTGCCTCTGATTCTCCAATGACTTCCTGGAAAACGCGAGCACCTGTCCCTCACGCCCATGGTCTTCTCTCTGGACACTGTCCCCTTCGTCCACGTCAAGCATGCCCAAATGAAACGGTGCTTGGGAGCCCTATTTATAAGCAGATCCACAGGAAGTGGAGAGAGGGAAGTGGTGTTCTCTCACCCCCAGCCCCCAGCCCTAGCGGGTCCCCCTGAAGCACCTGCAGAGATGCTCCCTCTGCCTGTGACAGCACCTGGGGACTCACCCTCACCCATTTTCAGATAGGAATTCCACCCGCCAGGCCTGGCTGATCAGCCACAATGATTGGCTCAGGAGGGTCCCCTGGCCCAGGTTGGCTCAAAGAGGTTGATATCGTTTCTAGAAGCACTGAGTCAGAAGTCTGCTCTTCAGGCTGAGGTTGCTGAGTATAAGCTGGAATCCGTGGGGTCCATAGGAGAGAGCCCTCCTGGGAGCAAAACCAAGACAGACAGTGCATGTCAGACTCCAGAGCTGGAAAGAAAGCAACTAGTCCTAGCGACACTGTCGGGATCGCTGGCGCTGGCTATCTCAGTCCGTTGTGTGTTACTGTAACAGGATACCTGAGATGGGTAATTTATAAAGAAGAGCGATTTATTTGTTACGGTTCTGGAGGCTGGGAAGTCCAAGGTCAAGGAGCCCACTTGTGGCAAAAGCCTTCATGCTGTGTCATCTCATGGAAGGTGGAAAGGCAAAGCAGGGGGGTGTGAGAGAGCAAGAGATTGAGTTTGCAGCCTCAAGCTCTTTTACGGTTGGCATTAGCCAATCATGAGGGGTGGAGCCCTTATGAATGGAGATAACCAAGCTCTGCAGAAATAATAATTAATACAGTCTATTCTAAGCACAAATTTGAGTAACCAACCTGCTATCTGATGTTCAGACGCACTGGTTCTTTTTATTCAGTTCCCACAGTGGGGGCCACAAAGTTGTGAATCAGCATGAGGAGTCTTTCCACTGGCCTGACCCAAAAAGGCGGGGCATCTGGAATAGAGGCTTGTAGGTTACAGTTGGGCTTATAAATTCTTAGGTTAGTAATTGGTTAAAAAGAACAAAGGAGCAAACAAAAAACCACAAGTCTTTGTTCCCAAAAGGAATCGGCAAAACAAACAAACAAACAAAAAAACTCTATGTTTCACGTTAACAGAGAAAAGGTTTTACTATGCATCACAAAAACACTAAGCCAGGGATAGGACTATAGAGCATCCCGTAATCACTGACCAGAGTGGTCTGTTTCAGTTTGTAGGCACAATTCTCTAGGCCCTTTGGAAAGAATTTCGAAGTAGGAAAAAGCAATCAGAATTCTGTCCTCACCCTCATGACCTAAATGCCTCCTATAAGGTCCCACCTCCTGACACTGTTGCTCTGGGGGTTAAGTTTCCAATACATGCATTTGGGGGAACATATTCAGCCTACAGCCAGTTCTGCACCTGAAATTCTGAACTTTGCAGTCACCTGAGCCCCACTTCCCATATGCCTGTTGGAGGCAGGTTTCCTCTCACAATGGAGAGAATCCTGGCTGCTCCCTTAGGGTGTGTAGGACAGGATTTGAAAACCTCTGTCTATCATCCTAAAGACAGGCACAACCCACTCAATGCTTTGATTTTCTTACATTTGCTTTCATGGATAACAATACAATAACAACTTCCATTAAATTCTGCCAGAGGGTGCATATGTTCACCAGAGAGAAAGAGAGAGAGAAATCACCCCCTATGGAGAACGGTCACTCCAAGGTCTCTTCCTCTTTTTAAGATTTTGGGCATGCACATGTGCCTGGCATGTTTTTCAAGCCACTGGATTTGGGACTCATACTACACAGTTACGTAAGATCCAGCTCATTTAACCACCCAGCTATGGGCTGGCCTACAAATTTCATTTCTTTAGCAGTTTTTGGCTTTCATCAAGTTTTCAGAAAAACACCAAGAAAAGGTAGCTCTGTTTCTTTCTCATAGATAGGGAAACTAAAGCAAAGCGAGAGAGAGGTATTTGTCCCAAGTTACCTGACTAAATAATAACAGAAATGTTCCCATCAGACTTTTTCAAGATTGATTGCAAATATTAGGGTGTCAGAAAAATCATGACGCATTCAACGTCACATGGTCAAGGTCATAAATAGGGCAGGGGGCAGTGGACAACCTGCATCACCAAATGCTACTACAGAGGGAAAGACCAGAATATAAATAAAAACTGGAAAAATTACTGTCTTACTAGTAGTCCATGAAACTCAAATTGAGTGAATATACCATTGTTATCATCTTTTGCATGTGCGAAAATTAATGCTTCTTACTCTCCTGTACACATCAAAGATGCCTTGGAAGTCCCCCAGGTGCTAGTGCTTCCAGATCACTGTTTCAGGTCCCCAGCCCCCTGATGTGCTACCCATCTGAGCCTGCCCCAGGGAAATGAGCGTGGGCCTCTTGCAGGAGTTAAACCTTGTCCTCCCATCTTCCTCTCATCCTGCCCTTGGTCCCGCTCAGACTTGTCATCTACTTCATTCAGCCTCCGTCTAATTATTGCAAACTCTCAGCTCCTTCTCTGAAGGTAGAAGCTCATGTCCTACCCATGTAAACTCATCGACACGGATGATCTACAACCTTCTCAAAGAGTAGAAAGCAGGAGGATGCATACCTTGGCATTCTCGACAATGAGACAAAACCTAAAGGGAGAACACCATTAACAGCATCTCACCACCCACTACTAGATGTTCTGAGAAGGGAGAAGGGGATGAGGGAAAACCCAGCGTGAGAACTCCAGCACCTTTCTGTAAGGATCTCAAAGGTCATTTGACTGGAGAAAGCAACTTCTTCCAGAGGCTTGGATAACTGTTCTTTCTCCATGATATTTAAAACACTTGCTCTTTTCCATAAAATTCCATCTGTTTCTATAGAATTCTATCAACAGTGAGTCACAATAGAGTCACTTGCAGCAAGTAGGATGTGATCTGTGATGGTCACTGGCTCAGTGCTCACCAGAGCTGTTTTTGCTACATTCCCACATTCCCTGCAACTTCCTGCCTGTGCCACTTGTGACACCTGCTTCATTTTCACCTCATTTGTGCCCAATGTTTACAGAAGGGAAGTTTCTTTGAAATTCAGAGCCTATCTGTAATAACTCTGAAAATCCCGGTGTTTAACCAAGGATAAATATTCATGTGCAGGTTTTTGTGTAGACATGTTTTCACCTCATTTGGGTAAATACCTAGGAGCACATTTGCAGGATCATATGGTACTACTATGTTCAGCTTCGTAAGAAACCGCCAAGCAATCTTCTGAAGTGACTGCACCATCTTTCATTCCCACCAGCAATAAATGAGAGTTCCTGTTGCTCCACATCCTTGCCAGCATTTGTTGTTGTCTGTGTCCTGGAATTTAGTCATGTCAATGGGTGGATAGTGATATCTCACTGTTATTTTAATTTGAAATTCCCTGATGACATAATATGGTGTGGATCATTGTTTCATATGCTCATTTACCGTCTTTGGAAGGATATCTGTTCAAATCCTTTCCCCATTTTTAAATTGAGTTGTTTTCTTATTGTTAAATTTTAAGAGTTCTTTCTATTTTTTATGCAAATCCTTTATCAGATACAAGTTTTGCAAAAATTTTCTCCCTGCCTGTACCATGTCCTTTATTCTCTTAACAGTGTTTATTGCATAGCAGAGTTTTTAAAGTTTTTTAACCTTTAAAACATTTTTTCCAATTCTTTGCCAGAGGGCACATATACTTGCTTAAGAAGAGCAGAGAGAGAAGGAAAGTGAGAAATCACCTCCCAGGAGTATGGCCACATCACGGTCCCTTCTCTTCCATTCTCCTCCCAGGATTTTAGGCACATGCACACACATGTCTAATGTGTTTCTCGAGCTGCCGGATCCAAGACTCAAACCGCAACCATGTGGGATCCAGTGCCTTAACCACCATGCCATCTGTTGGCCTGAATTTTTACAATTTTAACGAAGTCTAACTTACTTATTTTTTTCCCATGAATTGTGTTTTGGGCATGTTAAATAAAAATAATAGGAAGCCATTGTTTTGTACTAAGTTCCTGCACTAGGCCCAACAAGCCAGACCGAAATGGAGTCACCCATGACAAATGCCACTGAAATATTTAGAAGATAGGTCCCCAAACAGTCCTGTTTTTCCTGAAAAAGGAGATTCCAGTCTACCTGAGTTACTATGTAAGGAAGTCCCTGCTGCCTTAAACTTTACAGCGAAAGTGACGTTTTTTGTTTTTGTATTTGATTTTTGCAGGATTTTACTTTTAGTCTTTATTTTTTATTTATTTTATTTTTACATTCGATCACTGTGTCATTACAGCATATCCAATGAAATAACCCCTCTGCTTTCCATACTTGGCTTGTGCCTTCTTTAGCCCTCTCTGTCTGAAACAACTTCTTCTCAATTCCTTGGAATACTTACTCAGTTTCACCAGAATCTGTGTTTCCTGCTTATAATTCCTCTGAGACCCCAAATAAAGCTTTTTGTTCTATTGATGGAAATAACCAACTCTATAGAAATAACAATTAATGTGGCTTAAAACTAAGCACATAATTGAGTGACCAGACCCGGAGAAAGACAAACATTTTCTCAGGGTGTTGAGTTGCAGTCACTCCTTTGATTTAGTCCTGAGAGCAGGAGAGCTGTCAATCACCATAAGGAGTCCTTTACATTGGCCTGGCCCAAATGGGTGGGACATCTGGAAGCAGAGGCTTGTATGTTATAGGTGAGTTTTAACATCCCTAGAGGAGAATGGAGGAGAAGGGATTGTGGCATGGCCATCCCCCCTGGTGATTTCTTGCTTTCTGTCTCTCTGTCTTTCTCTGTCTTTCTGGCGAGCACATGTGCTCTATAGTAAAAACCTCTCCAAAAAAAGAAAAAAGATTCCAATTCCATGTGGACAAATTGAGCATAGATGACGCTGAAGCCAAACGTAGTTCAAGAGTTGGGCTCTGAATGTCAAGAAGTGTGGGGAATACTTTGATTTATTTTGGTTCTATTTTCCCTTTTCATGTATGCAAGAATCAAAACAGGGGGACCAACAGTTGGTGAAATGGCATGGGGAATACTTTGATTTATTTTGGTTCTATTTTCCCTTTTCATGTATGCAAGAATCAAAACAGGGGGACCAACAGTTGGTGAAATGGCAAATGTCGCTGGACTCCATGAAGTCAACCAGGGTTCAAGCCTCAGACCCGGTGGCTTAAACTCACGCCAGGCATGTGTCCGTGTGTGCCCAAGATCCTGAGAGGAGAAGGGAGGAGAAGGGATTGCAGTGTGGCCAACCCCCCGAGGGTAATTTTCTCACTTTCTGTCTCTCTGTCTTTCTGGCGAGCTTGTGTGCCCTATAGCAAAAACCTCCCCCCCCCCCAAAAAAATGATAAACAAACACCAAAAAACTGAAATCTAAACAAGTCTGAAACAGGTCCTCTGATAAATATATTGGGTTGTCAGAAAAATATGTCATGACTTCTCTGACAACCCAATAAAATTAAAAAAAAGGTAAAGTGACAGCCAGCACTGTGTCATGTGTCTATCCCTGCCATTGTTTATGGCAGGAGTTTATTCTTCCTTCATGGGACATGGAATAACCTTACATTGATGGACAGTAACTGCTGGATCAATAGCGTCCTGGGAGAAATCCCACGGCAGATGTGGAACAGGCCATGAGTTTACAAAGGGGAATATTGACAACGCCATGGACAAGGTAAGGGAAATTGACAAGGGATGGTGCAGTGATGCAGGGCTGGTGACACCTGAAAGGTAAGGGGTTCGGGTACCAAAACCAGGGAGAGGCTGCAGGGGATGGTAGGCGGACAGTAGCAGAGCCTCAATCTCCTGGTACCCCGACCCTGTGCCTGTGCCTACCATCATGGGGGAACCCACTGTGAACTGAGGCCAAAGAGTGCTTAAGACTCTGTCCTGGGACAGCACAGTGAAGGGAGTCAGGGTGGTTGTGGCAGAGCAGGTGGAAACGCCTCTGAGCACAGAGCCGACCTGGTGTGCCCTTCCTATACGCCCACCCGCACCGCTATGCACTCAGGGCCCCTGGCCAAAGGGAGCTGACCAGGTGGACGAGGAACTACCTTTGAGCGCTGTTGCTGTTTCTCTCTGTTTGTTTTTTTAAGTTTACTTATTTTATGAGAGAGAGAGAGAGCAAGCCACCCCAGACAGGGTCTCATGAAGCTGAGACCCCCCTTGTCAGGATGTGGGCAGGCGTGCATGTACATGGCATGTTTTCAGACCCATCTGGGGATCCGAACCTGCGGTTGACCATGTGGCTTCCAGCACCGCAGTTCAGTTTGCTACCTGCTGTGCCACTGAACTTGGCTTCCATCATTGGCCGAGGAGCCCAATAGCTCCTGGCAATCTATGGTTGGCCCACAGTGGCGTGGTTGGGTCCAGCCATCAGCAGCCCTCCCACCTCCCTCTCACCCCCGGCCCCTGATGCACTACGCGGACTGCTGCGAGGAGAAATGAAACCCGTGCCACATCTGAAACTTGGCTCCAGGACGCAGACGTCAACTCACACGGCCGCTGAAGGGCAGCAGGAACTTGGATCTCGGGGTGTTTATAGCTTATGAGGTGAGCTTTGCGTATTTTGGACTTAGCCCTAATGTCTGCTTGCCTGGCCAGCTTGTCTGGCAGCATGTCTTCTGATTTAGAGCCCCTAGACCAGCTTGACTCTTTTTTTTTCATTTTATTTTTAAAGTTTTGCTCTAGGGCGTATGTGCTCGTCAGAGAGACAGAGAGAGAGAGAGAGAGAGAGAGAGAAGGAAAGTGAGAAATCCCCCCTCCCCACAGTGGCTCCACTGCAAGCCCTTTCTCCGCCATTCTCCTCTTGGGATTCTGGGCAAGCTCACATATGTGCCTACCAGATTTTCCAAGCCACGGGGTCTGAGACTCGAATCATGCGCTCGGCCATGTGGAATCCAGCTGCCTTAACCACTACAGCACCTGGCTGGCCCCAGACTTGACTTTGAAGCTAGCTCTTTGATTGGCCAAGTCTGCCACAGAGCTGGGCTCAGATCTGTGCACTTCAGAGCCAGGTCACCACCCCAGGCGCCTCCCTGATGTGCAGACAAGAAAATCGAGACCCAGAGAGAGAAGGTGCTGCCTGGGCACGGCAGGTGTGGGTGGACGAAGCTGCGGGCATGGCACCTGCTGGCTGGGTTTAGGGCTTAGGTGGGCCTCCCCTGCAGGAGCACACACAAGTCAGCTCATCCTTCGGTCCCGTTTCCTACTCTGAAAAATGGGGTGAGAATCAAGTGACCAAAGAAGCAGAAGGCCATGAGCACTCTGAGCAGTACCTGGAGCCAGTTCATGTCCCTGACACTGAGGACCTTGCCCAGAGATGCACTGTGCTTGTCGAGTGGCTTCACGAGTGTGGAAAGCACTGCACGGGCTGTAAGGTGTGGAGGACAAGCCGCTTGTCATGTTAATTACTGCTCTGTAAAGGGGCTGGGTCCCAGCAAAGCAATGAATCTGACCAACCCTGTCTACCACCTGGAGGGCCTCCAGGATGAAGAATGTCTTGTCTGCTTTCCTCAGCAGCAAATCCAGGCTTTTTGCTCTTGGGATCTGAAGGAGCTTGTGGCGGTTTGAACAAGAACTAGCCAGCTGTCAGGTGCTGCGGCATGGCGTCCACCCGGTCTGGACACTTAATTCCGGTCTGGCCATCATGAAGCCCTGGTTCATGGCCAAGGGGAAGCAGCTGATGCAGGGAATGGGTCCCCGGGGCTTCAGGGAGGACACGGCTCATGGCTGTACTGAGCCCAGCAGCGTCTCTGCTCAGAGCAGAGACCCATGGGAAAGTCTCAGCTCCCAGGGTGGGGC